ATAACGGCTTTAATATGTACCAGTGCGCACTGAGTGCATCCAATTGAATTCGCTATAATATTTGGGGAAGTGACCAGTAAGTTGAATTGATCGTGCAAAATGTCACAACAGAATCCATGCATGATGTATAACTTACTCGGATGATGACAACTTTCGTTTGCGGTCCTCAGAAGAGACATCGGCCTGCAAGGTGGCTTGATGCTGGGCATATTTTTGTATTTTGCAAACAGTTCCCTTGGACAAGTTCGCCATCACAGCGCTAGCCTGATCGCGACGATATAAGCCTATATACGCGGATGTATCAGATAACCATGAAACATATCCACCTCCTGTAAACGAAAAGAGATAGAGGGATTTATTATATCTCTTCACATATATCTTTTATGTCAATTCTAATCTCATTTATATAAAAAAGAACGTTATCATTCATTTTGTACTATTTTATATATAATTTAATACTCACCAAATGGGCTAAAGAGTTGACTTATATCCGCGTGTTTCCATTCTTTGGGGAATGTTATGTAAAATACGTGCTCTCTGCTAGGATTTGCTAAAAAAAATATATGAAAAGAAAAAGACATATTAAACGAGGTGATGTATCTCTAATCGATCAAGCCTACTTAGAACTTGATCCGTTCACTGAGATCTCAACATCTCGCAAAACGTCGCGTCGCGTAAAAGAGTCACGGTCGGTCTCGCTCCGCGTGTACTTGGCGCGAGACACTACCGTGTCTCTTGATTCTTTCTATCTCTCACTTATAAAATAATTTTATTAATATTATATAATAAAATAATAAAATTTAAAAATAACACTAATACAGTGATATTGCGATACCACTCTTTAGTGACACTATATAAATATACTTACGATCTTTTCCTACCAAGTTTACGTATGGAAAATCTTTCAGTCTTGCTATAGGAAGTCTGTATAAAGAAAAAAAAATTATAAATAAAGAGGAAAATAAATATAATTAAATAAATAAGAGTAATTATAAGCTTTATATAGGTAAAAGTGTAAGATATTACTTGATACTACTGACAAAAACATACTCACTTGTTAAGAAAAGGATTAAGCAACGGTGAATTCGGTAACACCGTAGCATTTTCGGAGTTTTGCAATATGCCTGAAATAAACAACATGTATTTATTGACGAATGTTTTAAAATAAAATTAATTATTGAACTAATTCAGTTTATCCATTGATGTATGTAATTGATTAATATATGAAATATAAATAAATATAAATGAGAAACATACATCATCTGATCTACAAAATGTTTTTCTCATATTTAAAACAATCAATTGCTTACAAAAGTGAATAACAACATTGACAAAGGTATTATCCGGCATTGTGATATTTATACCCAATATATTACTGACCAAGATAATTGGACAATGCAATGAAGCATAATCCAGTGATGTACGCGTCATATCCTGCCTCGTGTGATTTTTCTGTTGATATCGAATAACTGCGTCCCTCAACAGGCTCGATATCGGGAATGGAAAAAGGAGGCTTGCTCACAATTTCTAATAATATGTTCAAATTCGACGACGACACAAGCTCTTTAAATTGCTGCGATTGACAGATGACTTTTGTATCCAATAAACTTAAATAAAAAAAAAAAAAAAACGATAAATTTTTGCAACAGTTCTTACTTCTAGATATTATACATAGAGACTATATTATGCTGTAGCAAGTGTGTAATATTCAAAATTAAAATTCTTAATTTAATATATACAGGGTGTCCCTGCACTCATTGTCAGTGCCAAAACTGACACAGCGACTTTAGCATATAAAAATAAGTCGAAAATGTCTAATAAAAATATGTATGTCCGAATTCGAACGGTTTCGGAGTTATACAGTAGGTACTGAAGTTGCTTTTGTAAGAAAACATAAATTGAAGTAAACATTATTTAATGTTCTTTATTCTGTTTAAAGCTTTACGAAAGGTGCTAAAAAATTCCTCCACAATTCAGAACAATTATGGTAACTGACACTTAATGCTGCCGATGTTATCCGCGAAACTCCAAACGTATATTTTTCAAAAAGTTTGAAACAATTTATTAATTTGTGCTAAAAAGTGTGTTGAAGTCGACGGAGGAATTTTTTAAGCATCTTTTGTAAAGTTTTAAACAAAATAAAGAACATTAAACAACATTTATTTCAAATGTTTTTTTTTATGAAAGTAACTTCAATACCCTATAACTCCATTCAAATTCGGACATATGTTTATTAGATATTTTCGACTTGTTTTCATGTACTAAAGTCGCTGTGCCAGTTTTGGTACTGAGTGTAGACACACTCTGTATATATACGCAAATACATATACATATATGTGTAGCAATCGTGGCGGAGAGTAATCTTCACTGTTTTAGTGAGCCGAAGATCCGGGTTCAACTGCGATAAAAAATTCGTCAGTTTGACCGCCACAATCGCCACCTCTCAGATGTTGATGGCAACCCATCGAGAGTATCTTGTCACAAGAATCTCTCTGTATTTAAAGAGGTTGACTACAGAGTTAAAAAGTTTTGAGTAAAAGTTTGAAGTGATTGTAACTGTTTCCGAGACAATAAACTAATACATATAAAAATGTTTGTGCCTTACCTAGGAAACAAACCATGAATCAAAGTCTTGAAATCCGAATAGTTACTTGGCAAAGGTGTAAAAAATTGATGTATAATATGACACAGATCTAACAGCATATTATGTCCCACTATTATCTTTTCCTAAAATAAGATTAAAATATATTTAAACAATTAATAAGGGTAAACAAAAAGGGTTAACATACAAAGCAAAACAATATCTCATCTTTTTCTTATTTAAAAAAATATGAAAAAATATTGCTTATAAAGAGTTTCAAGACTATTAAAAAGATTATATTTATCATTAATTCATTATATCCACTCATCGAAGTTTTTTTATATAATTAAGAATCCATCTGTGTACTTACAGACTCTACAATCTTTTTCAGCAGGTTGCTGAGTCCTACGGCCTGTTTAATCTCCAATTTTTCCTTTTCACGTTTCTCATTTTCCCTTTCTTCCTCTTCCTCCTTGGTACCTACTCTCTGGACCAAAAGACAGTTCCAGGTATTCTCAATTTTACTTTCAACTTTCACTTTATTAGGCCACCTGACTCGCGCCTCTTGATATACCAGTCTCCTCATAAAACCATTACATCTGTCTATCGTCAACTCTTTTGCATCTGAGGCAAGAAAATTCTCTATTCTAGAACTGAAATTCATGTACCATGTATTTTCTCTTTAATATACAATTAGTCATTTTTATAATCTCCCTCACAAATCACATTTTTCTCTTAACTTTATTTTATTAGGTTAAAAGAAAGTGAGCAAAAACATAGGATTACCATATCTCTTCTATTTGAGGCTTGTCATTATCTGGTATTGGAATTATATCTTGATTGTTTTCCTCTTTGAGTTTCTGTTTTTCCTCCAGGCGTTTGACAAGCTTTTCCTCTTCGTTGGCACTGAGATACGGTATGCCATACTTGAACAGCTTGTTGAAGTCAAAGTCTTGATTTGCTAGGAACGCTATGGACGACGCCTGGCACATAAACCTGCTGTCCGGTATCTGGCGATTCAGCGGTTTGGGAAACACGTAGAAGTTATAAGAGCGCTGAGAATATCTGGAACGGACAAGCCGTTATTTCTCCCATTTCTGCAATTTCTCATCGCTATTTTCGGAAAGTGTTGATTCACGAATTAACGAATATCTCACTTGTTCGTTTGCGAGTTGTACGTGAAGACGGACAGACCAAACTGTACGAGCAGAAAGTCCATCGATCCCGCTCGTAGCTTGCCATAATACTGAGCCGGTGTGTCGAAGGGGCCTGCATCCGGACCCGAATTAAGGCCGGTAAACTCGCCGTCAATACTGAGAAAAGTAGCGTCCTTTAAGACGTTTTCCAACTCGCACAGCACGTCCTGAAAATCTACCGAGATCACGTTAAATTACGAAAAAAAAAAGCGATGAGGAAACATCGCGATGTTCTCATCAGTGAGGTTAACTTTGGTCGACGATTTATCGATAAACCAATTAATCAGCCGTACTCACTCGAGCTCGTCACTTCCATTATTTTCCTCGCGCCGTACACGCGGACCAACGCGAACGTTTTAATGCACGCGCATGATCTGATGACGTGGGACGTGGGATCGAGAGAAAGGAAGCCGAGCTGCCTAGCAGATAGCAGACATGCCCGTGTTAAGGTGGAAGCACATAAAATTGCAGGAGCCTTGAGCAGAATGCAGAAGCCATATGCGCATGCGCTATGGTATTTGTAGAGCTCTACAGATACCACA